GGGCTCCAAAGAGCAACCTGGACAAGCATTTGGGAGTCTGCCACCGTGAGCGTCATCACCCGACGTGGGCCCTTGCCTTTCCATCCGCGAACCTCTTTCAGAGGCCCGAACTCCAGCAGGAACGCTTCCAAGTCCACTTTGGCTTTGTTCTCCTGCAAGGTGATGGCCTCCATCAAAGACGAAGCTTTCACCACCGTCGGCGAGGTTGCCGAGGACGCCTCAGTCCTGCAACTGGAGTTCTAGCAAGAGCCGAACCTAGAAGAACAGAAAAAGACATCCCAATGCCCCCTACTACCTTCTGTCCGTTCCTCTATCAGGCTTGCCCGCCTGCGTCTCTTCTTCGGCGACACCCCCACGGAGTCTGCTACATGCGGCGGCTGGTTCGTCTCAGAAGGGTGCAACCACATTACTAATTTATCATTTTTCCACTTACAGCCAGCAACTAAGCATGGATCTTCACACATCCGGTCTCTCTAGACCTGTCATCGGTTGCATATATAAAATTCGGTGTTTCTGGAATTCCCAAATATTACATTTTTTTGGTTGGTGATACGTTATCACATTTGCGGTTGATAAATTTCACTTTCCCATAACAATTGACAAAACCCTTCACCATGTCTGACAACTTAACATTTGAATACCCATGTCTCCTGATTCATCCGGAATGCACTGTTGCGTTCCCATTCAATGGACATACATGTCAGCTCCTGTCGTTATTCTTAGTTGATACATCAGTTGTCAATTTTCTGATTCCCCACCTGCCAGGTGAGGGTTGTTAGATTTTATCAGAGCTCTTGCCCGCCTCCTCCTCCTCCTCCAACCTCCTCCTCGACTAGCTGTCCTCTTCCTCGTCGTCCTCCTCCTCGCCTCCTCCTCCAGTTTCTCCTCGACCATGTCTGCATCAACTTCCACCTCCACTTCCGCCTTGCCAACTCGTCGCCAAGCTCTTCGCCAACTTCCCAGCTCAGTGCGCACTGCTGGACCTCAACCTGGGAGCTCCCCAGCTCAGTGCGCACCGCTGGACGTCAACCTCGGACGTTCCCAGCTCAGTGAACATATTGCAGAAGATATGCCAGATAGAACGCCAGAAGATCTGCCAGATAGCATGCCAGAAGATATGCCAGATAAAATGCCAGAAGATATGTGAGATAGAATGTGAGAAGATTTGCCAGTAACAAACCGTATAGATGTCATGGTGGGGATAAGTCGAAGTAAAGTATTTTTTTGATTGAAACAAACATCGCCAAACATCATCGGAATTGTTGGACATTTGATCTAGCGGATTCCAGCGGTATCAAGCAACTGCGCAAAATCCAGAAACCTCTGATTTTAGAATCTATTCATTTTTGGATCGTTTATTGTTACGTTTCACACTGGCGGGATGAGTTGATCATCCCATAATTAGTGAATAGTTATATCCCCCATCAATCTCCTGATGATGACCCAGGTGGATTCCCGTGGGTACCCGAAAAACGCCAGGGACAACGGTGCCAAAGCGCTGATACCGTCCATGGACTCAGAGATATCGCAAAAGCCTGAGGTGATTTGAGTTGGCGCAATGGAGTTGCAAGACTTGGCTCGACCACGCGCGCAGGAATGATATTAACATATATTACATAACGGTATGGTATTTGTACGATTTTGTATGTATTTGTGATTTACCATATTGGGCATACCTCTACTTGGGATGTTGATCCCAAATTGTTGATAACTGTGTGTGGGAAATATGCACGGCAGAATCTTTACAGTTCTGTCATGTCAGGTGCGAAGGATGACACGCACAAATCATAGCACAGATGTTCACCTGTATTACCGCAGGCATTTTTGGTTGGAAAACAGGCGCGACGTTCTCAAGGGTTATGAGCCCAACGAGCTACTACTGGGCATTTTAGCCATGGAAGCTGGAAGGTCCCAATCAATGCCTGTTGGGGATAGAAACATGGAGGTGGTTAACCCATTTCATTCCGAAAAAGTTCAAGCTGAATGTTTGCTGGAGGCCTCAAGGCCTAGGAGCTTACCAGTGTTGGATGGTGGAATGGGACCTCAAGGTGTAGCGGTTTCTGAAAAAAGGGATCAGTCTGATGCAAGTGCACTGCCAACTGAGAAAGGGCGAGGTGGCTTTTCGGCGAATGAAGTGCCGGATGCAGCTGGCCCCACAGTGAATGAGAAGCAGAATGCCCTGAGGACTGAAGGACGGATGCAGGGGTGTGATGATCCTGTGTTGTCACAAGGCCAAGTCAAATCTGCTGGAAGTAGTGGTATGGACGAAAGCAGTGATGGCTTACAGCGAGCCCTAGAAGGCGAGCTTGTGGAGTTTTTGAGAAGTCAAAATTCTAAACTCATGCAAGAGTTGGAATGTCTCAAAGGGCAACTGCAGCATGTGCAAGTGAAAGCCGGTTCTGGGGATGCTTCGTCACCATGGTCTGCTGTGAATGGAACTTCAGTAGAGGGTTCAAGTGGCAATGGAACCTTTCATGCTGAGCGTCATGGTAGGGGTGGAAGTAGAACTCCTAGGCATAGAACACGTGAACGTGCAGTTAGTCCTGAGGCTTGTGAAAAAGGAGATTCAAATCGGTTCACACCAAATGGGACCAGAGTGCCAAAAGGTCCACCGCCAGTGGATGAGCCGATGGTGCCACCAATCCCTCCGTTTCCAACTGCAGCAGGTGAGCCGCTTGTGGAGGGGACCAGTTTTGTCAGCAATTTGTATGATACATGTGAGTCAAAACCGCATGTGAGAAATGGTGACAAGTTGTGGAAACCTCAGAGTGGTCAAAACACTGGGGATGTGATGACAGCTAGCGAAGCAAAACAAACATGGCTGGAAAGGGAGGTTCAGTCCCTCAAAACTGCTTTGAATCGTGTTTCGGTTCCTGATGCAATTCGACAGTCTGGATACTGGAATGGTAGTTTTGCGGACAAAATGGAATGTCATGTTCCTGATGTGTCACATGCAGCAGCTGCCAATCGTCCGCTTTGTGGTGATCGAGCCCTATCTGGTGGAAGTGGAGATGTATCTCAACAAGATCGGGCTTGGCATGGTGGACGTGGTGAAGTATCAGCTCACGATCGGGCACAGCAGCTGTTTGGAGATCTACCTGGACTCGGTCGGGCTCCGCAATTGCATGGTGATCTACATCAACGTGATCGGGCATTGCATGCTGATCTTCCTCAACGCGATCGGGCTTTGCATGCTGAACTTCCTCTACGTGATCGGGCTTGGCATGGTGATCTACCTCCTCACGATCGGGCTTTGCATGGCGAACTACATCCTGGTCGAGCTCTACATGGTGATGATGCAGTGCTTCATGGTCGTCGAGATCTACTTCATGAAGGTGGTCCTCATGGTGGAGTTCAACATGGTGGAGTTCAAGGGCATGGATCTATGGGTGTTGCACCAATGCCAACGTCTTGGGAAGCTTCTGGAGGAGGTGGCGGCGGAAAAGCTGAACTACCTGTGTTGCCGAATGGTGCATCGCCTCTGGAGTTTGGAGATTGGCTTTGTCTTTGTGGGCCAATCATGAAAGACCTGTCACATGTCGCTGGAAGATGGTGGGATGCAACAGTACGCCAAGCGTATGCCTTCTACATGGAATGGAAGGGACTATCTCCTCTTCAGCGAGTTCAACTTTGTCCTCGTCTTCCTGATGAACTGATGGCAGGCGGCTTCATCAGAACGGAGCAGAGGGGCGTCACTTTGTTGCTCAAGGCGGTGAGCGAAGAGCAGCAGAAGGAGTTGGTGGTGGATCGAGATTTGACCAGTACGGCAATTTTGTTCCGCCTCTATGTGCGGCATCAACCAGGGGGACCAGGTGAAAAGGCAATCCTCTTGGGGCAATTGACTTCACTGCAAAAGGCATCTACGATGCAGGAATTGGCTTCGTCTCTGAGAACATGGCGGCGATACTTTGCAAGGGCTAGGGAGGTGGATGCAAACCTGCCTGATGGAGTGCTGCTGATAAAAGCACTTGAAGCTGCGGTTGTCCAGATCGCCAAGGAAGATGCCCAAGCAGCGTTCAGGCTTTCCACAAGCCGACAACAACTTGCACTGGATCAACGTCCTACGGAGCAGTCAATTTGGAGCTTCAGTCAGTGTTTGTTGGCTGAAGCAGAAACTTTGAGCTTGCTGAAGTCCTCCTCTACGACGTCTACAAGTGCGAGCACACCGGTGAGGCTCAAACAAATGGATGCTGAAGCATCAAACTCACCTCAAAAACCAGGCACTCCTGGCAACTATGGCAACAAGTCCGGCAAGGGACACTCAACTCCTATGTCGGAGCAACCATGCAAGTTCTTCAAGAGCGACACTGGATGCAAAGCCGGACGAAGCTGCAAATGGTCTCACTCTTGGGAGGGCATCGAGGACAAGAACAGTCGATGCTGGATCTGTGGCGGCAAAGATCACAGAAAAACTGAATGCAAAGTCAAGGGCAATGGCAACAACTACAAACCTTCGTTCAATGACTCTGGTTTGGGGGGAGGACGTGGTGGTGGAAATCAAAATGCAGCCAACAACAAAGCGGCTGTCAAGCAAGCTTCAGTTGGAAAAGGTCATGATGGTGGAGTTGCAAGCTCAACAACTGATCAAACCTCTTCTAGTACGTGCGCTGATGGTCCAGGACTGGGTGCTGAGAGTAACTCCCTTGGGACTTCATCTAGTGCAACCTCGGAGGTGGATAAGGGGGGAGCTCCAGCTGCCACTCCTGCGACCACTGAACTGTTGGCAGAAGCCACACAGTTGCTGAAGTCTTTGCGTATGCCCAACCTGAAGGTGATGCGGCTGTCAAAGTTGGAGTCTCATGCTCAAATGGTGTTGTTGGACTCTGGCGCAACACATGGCCTACGTCCTGCAGCTTCAGAAGAAGAATGGCAGTCGGGCACAAGAACTCAGGTGATGTTGGCTGATGGTGTCACAGAAAGCCTCCGTTTGAAGCCTGGCACCAAAGTTTTTGCTTTCCGATCCTCTCCTTCGGCCTGAAAACACCTCTTGGATCGTTCCAATGGGATGCTTGAACGAGCTCAACTACAAGTTGGTGTGGAAAGACCACATGTGCCATCTTTACACAAAAGCTGGAGAAAAGATCGATGTGGAACTTCACAATGGATGTCCCTACGTTGCTCATGAATTTGGAGCGAAACTGCTGACGGTTTTGGAACAGCATCAAATTCAACAAGAGCTGAAAAAGATGACCTTGAAGTCAATCTTGACAAGAGGGGCTGCCGGTCTTGGCGACAAAATGAGCATTGAAATGGCGATGCTTGTCAAGCTCAAGGAGGTCATGCCGACTTTGCCTGAAGATTTGGCGTTGAAGCTGGTCCCAGATCTCTCAGTGCTCACGGACCCCAACATCGGCTTGAACCTTCCATGGAATCGCAGAAAGCGAAAAAGACTCATGATGGCAAAGAATGTGATCATCCACATGTACAGTGGACCTGATGCTTCTTACTGGGAGCGGCGTTTGTCAAATGAGCACACTGAGGTGCTGTGCGTGGACTTGGAAGCTTCAACACCTTCAAATGCTTTGGATGAAACAACCTTTGCGTTTTTGCTTTCCTTGTGCGCCAGCAAACGTGTCAAAGCTCTACTTGGAGGCCCTCCATGCAGAACAACAAGTGCTCTCAGGTTTCAAAAAGATGATGGTCCACCAATTCTTCGAACAGAAGATCACCCATATGGTTTGCCATCATTGACTCCACAACAAGCTGAATTGGTCACCAATGACTCAATTCTGTGGCTCCGTTTGATGCTGATGTACATCCTCTGCGAAGAAGTGCGTCCAAAAGAACAAGCTCAAACTGCATTTCTTTGTGAACAACCTCAAGACCCAGCGGAATACCGCAAGAAGGAGGATGTGGATGAGCACCAGTACTTTTCAATGTGGAGAACTCAGGAATGGAAAAGCTTCCAAGAAGCCTACAACGCCAAGCTGATCTCCTTTGATCAAGGGCCTTTTGGACACCCAAAAAGAAAGCCAACCACCTTGGCCTTGATCAACATGAATGAGATGATGCAGCTACAAGATGTGCGAGGTCGTGGAGCTGAACCTGAAGTTGCTCCGCTACCAGAACTCAGCGTGAAAGAAAGATGTGCTATGTCAAAAACTTGGGCGGCTTGGGCACCTGGTTTGAAGGCTGCAGTTGCTGAAGCAATCAGCAGATGGATTCGCCGTGAAGCGCCTCCACGTGAAGGACCTGAAGATCCTGTTGGCGTTGTTTACGCCGATGATGATGTCAAACCTGCTGGTGTCGCTGCAATTGGAAATGTTGCCCTTCAACAATGGAAGCAACACTACATGCAGGACCACATGCCGGCTCGTCGAGATTGCAGCCACTGTGTACGTTCTCAAGGTCGCAGTCGAGCACATCGCCGAGTTTGTCATCCGGAAAGCTTCACTTTGAGCTTGGACATGTCTGGTCGGATGACTGGTGGCAAGGACCAAACTCCTGGCAACAACAAGTACTTCTTGGTTGGAGTTTACACATACCCCGTCAACAAAAAGGGGAAACCACTCTTGTTGCGTCCTGACCAAGATGAAGAGGAAGATCACCCTTTGCCTGGCCTTGATGACCCTGAGCTCTCTGGTGATCCTCAAGAACAACAACCTGGAGATGGTCAACCACCTCAACAACATGTTGAACGAGATCAACAACAAGCGGGCCATGAAGCTCGACATGAACAAGGTCTTCCTGCAGGAGTTGCACAAGATGAACCTGATCCTCTCCAAGAAGAATCGGTTCCTGACCTTGTGGAGGATGAAGAGGTGAAGTCAGCCTATGGAATGCACGACACTTCGATGCGCCTCATCAATGAGTCCAAGGATGTCACTGTGCGCAACCTCACTTTTGCAGAGCCCATTGCAGATCGAAATGTGCACAACGTGCTGCCGGCGATTGCCAAGATCTATGCTCGTTTGCGCTCTTTGGGTTGCCCTGTGTACCGAATGCACAGTGACCGTGCACGTGAGTTTTTGGCAAAACCTGTCCATCAATGGTGTCTTGACCGTGGAATAGTTCAAACTATGACACCTGGCAGTGCTTTTAAAACAAACGGCAGAGCTGAAAATGAAGTTGGGATGATCAAAAAAGGCGTCCGCACTTTGATCTCTGCTGGAGCATGCCCTTTGGACAGATGGCCTCTTGCGGTGCGACATGTTGGAGAAAGACGTCTCCGCAATCAACTCAACCAAGCAGGCTGGCCAGTTGGAAAACTTTTGAGGTTTGGCTCCAAAGCCTATGCCCTCAAGAAAAGCTGGCAAGATCGCTACGCTCAATGGCGTGATTGCCGAGAAGAAGTTGTGGTGTGGGGCCCCGCTGAAGGATCTTCTATAACCACCACAACATATTATGTCAAAGCAATTGCAACGGAAAGGTGCTTCTACACTGATGATGTGGTGATTCCTGCGGATGATGGCATGAGTGCAGCTGTCGATGCTGGTCCCGGGGGAGAAGTTTTGCCATATCTCCCTGAACGTGATGAAAGACAAGCTCAACCGCTTTTTTGTGATGGTGTGCCAGCACGAAGATTGCGATCAAAGACAGCTCCGCCACCAGCAATTGCCACTATGTCAATGTTGCACATTGAGGGGGAGAAGCGCATCCTTGCAAAGTTTGGCAGTGTGTTTGAGTTTGCGCTGCCGCCTGACAATGAAGTTGCCTCTGAAGGTTCATGGACTTTGGAAACAACGCTTTCTCCATCACAACAACATCCACCTCAAGAACAACATGAGGTTCATGATGCTCCGCGACCAGGGCATGATGATGAAAAGGATGGTGATGGGGGGCAAACAGAAACTGATGAAGTTCATGATCAAAAGGAGGAGGAAAGTGATGTGGAGGAGGATTTGGGGGAGGCGCCTAACAGCAGAGACGGTGGCTCAAGCTCTGCGGCCTCAAATGTATCAAAAAATGTTCTGGTTAGAATGTCAAAGATACAAGCCCTCCAAACCATCCACGACAATGTCTCGGACTATATAGCCGAGGAGATCTGCAAGCTTGATGGCACCTTCCCTGAACAAATGTGGTGTCTCCCTGAGCTCAACAAAGCTCTGGTTAAAAAGGTTGAAGTTGAAGAACAAATTCAACTGCTTGCGGATGAAGATCGAGCTGAAGAACAACAACAGCTTACTCATGAGTTTTTGGTCACCAAAACGGTCAGCAACAAAGAGGTTCGTGAAAACCTTGCCGATTGGACTGAATCCATCAAGGCCGAGTACGAGCAGCTTGTCGTCAACAAAAAGGCTGTCAAACCAATGACCAGAACGGAACTCCAAAAAATGGCTGAAGTGCAAAACAAAACTTTGGAGATCCTTCCAGCAAAAATGGTTCACACTAGAAAAGCTGGATCAGGAGCATACCGTTCAAGAGCAGTGGTGTGTGGAAACTACCAGACACCGAATGACGACAACACGTACGCTGGAGGTGCTGATGCAACACAGATCCGAACAATGCTAAGGATCAGTGCTCAGTACAAATGGAAGGCTGCTTCAACTGACATACGAACGGCGTTCCTCAATGCGCCGAGAAGAGACTCCAGACTCATAGCTATGGAAGTGCCGCATGTGTACAAAATGTTGGGCCTCGCTGGACCTGATGAAGTTTGGCTCATCATGCTGGCAATGTACGGACTCCAGGCTTCACCAAGGGACTGGTGTCTTCACCGTGATGCAGTTTTGCCAACGCTGAAGTGGACAAGGCAAGGTCCAAATGGGTTGCTGACTGGAAGTTTTGAGAAAACAAAAGATGAAAACGTTTGGCGCTTGGAAGAGCTGGATGAATCAGGCTACATCCACTGGAATGGCCTCATGTCGGTGTATGTGGACGACATCTTGGTCACTGGTGAAGAGTTTGCAGTTCATGGCGCTCTACAAGCTCTCTCTGGAGTTTGGACAACCTCTTCTGTGGAATGGGCTGGTGTTGACAAGCCTCTCAAGTACTGCGGTTTTGAGATTTCTGAAGATGCCAAAGGCGATGGTTTTCATGTCAACCAGCACATGTACGAGCAGGAGATGTTGCAACGTTGGAATGTTGATGAAGGAGCTGAATATCCTCACTACAAAGTTGCTGAGGATCAAGAAGTCGAAGAAAGCCCTGACCCAAATGATGTCAGGACAGCTCAAGCTATGGCTGGTTCCTTGCTGTGGTTGAGTTCCCGAACACGACCTGACCTTGCTCATGGAGTTGCAACTATGAGCAGGCTCATGACAAAGGCTCCTGTCAAAGCCATCCAGATCGGCACAACGTTGATGAAATACGTCAAGGGAAACCCTGGCGTTGGTTTGAGGTACACAACACATGTTCCTGATGACTGGGGTGCCCATGGCCAGCTGAAGGTGAAAAGAAGTGACCTGCTCCTGGAGATCTTCTGCGATATTGCCTACTCAGCAGGTTCTGGCCATAGAAGCGTCCAAGGAATAGTTGTTTGCCTGGGTGGTCAGCCGATCTGTTGGCAGACGAGCCAACAGCCTTTTGTGACGCATAGCACGGCTGAAGCTGAGTTGGTTAGTTACTGCGAAGGCCTGATCGCTGGCAAAGCAGCTGAAGCTCTGGTGATGGAGCTCACAGGTGTTACAGCTGTGATGAAGGTCATCTATGGTGACAACATTGCCGCGATTGGACTGGCCAATGGAACTACAGCTTCTTCATGGCGAACAAGACACTTGCGCATCAGAGCAAGTCTTTTGAAACAAGCGCTGGGTGAAACTGATGCAGCTGGAGGCCAATGGAAGCTAATCCATGTGCGTGGCCTTGACTTAGTTGCTGATGGTTTTACAAAGCCTCTTTTTGGAGCTGCCTTTCAACGTTTTGTGGAAAACCTGGGCATGAATGCGCCGTTTTTGAGGCCCGAAGACCCTGAAATACGTGCTGCTCAAGTGCGAAGCCATGGCAGCAGAGAGCGTGTTCATGCTGGTGCAGCTTCTGCGATGAGTTTTTTGGTGGGGCAGACTCTTTTGTCCGAAGCCGAAGCTTTGGAAATCAAGGGAGAACAAGATGAAGCGGATCCACTTTGGATTGCTGCGGTGGTTTTGATGATCCTTGGGGCAATCTACGCTGGCAAGCTGGCAGTTCAAGCTGGTCAATGCTGCATGCGCCGATTGCAGGTGTGGTCGTCTTCGCCATCGATGCCTTCTGGTGAGATGCAAGTTTCATCAACAAGCTCCGCTACCAAAGATGATGGTGAAAGAAGATCTAAGTTGAGGTGGAGAACGAGCTCTTCAAGCAGCTTTGGCCCTGTGCAGGCCCCCTCAGCAGGATCTCCGAGCTCTGGCCCTGCGCAGGCCTCTTCAGCGGGATCGTCGAGCTATGGCCCTGTGCAGGCCTCTGTGACGATGTCTTTGCGGAGCGTTGGCCCTGTGCAGGCCCTTGGTGTGTCTGGCCCTGAGCAGGCCTCAAGTTCAACAACATCAGTACCCATAACTGCCGAGCGTGCTGGCCCTGAGCAGGCCCATTTTTCTGGATCTGGTGGTGGCCCTGTGCAGGCCTTGAGATCTTCGAATGCGGCTGCTGGAGCATCCTTGGGCAGTGCTGGCCTTGTGCAGGCCTTGCGAACTACGAATGCGGCTGCTGGTTCATCTTCAAGCGGTGCTGGCCCTGAGCAGGCCTTACGTGCTGGAGCTGGCCCTGTGCAGGCCGTTGTTGCTGCTGCTGCGGGTTCTGGCCCTGTGCAGGCCCCTTCTTCGAGCGGCGCTGATCTTGTGAATGATGCTGCGGTTCCTGGCCCTGGGCAGGCCTCTTCTTCGAGCGGCGCTGATCATTTTGCTGATGCATCTGGCCTTGAGCAGGCCCTGGCTGCTGTTGCGCTGATTTCCCAGAGCGCTGCTGCGGGCGATGGCATTGAGCATGCGCTGATGCAGCGTGCTGACGAAGTGAGCGAGGCCTTGAGGGTTGGTGCAGAATCAAAAATGACTTTGCACAATCCATGGAATCTTTTTCAGCATCAAAATAGAGGCAAAGGATGGTCGCCTGCCAAAATGGCATCAATGTACAAGACCTGGCGAGCATCTTCCAAGGATAAAATGCCTTGAGCCTACCAATTTAGGTTCCAATTTTTTGGTCATGAAATTCAACTTTTGGCTGGGCGCCAAATTAATATCTCCTGAAAAATCGTGAGAAACACGATTTGGGGGAGTCTGTCATGTCAGGTGCGAAGGATGACACGCACAAATCATAGCACAGATGTTCACCTGTATTACCGCAGGCATTTTTGGTTGGAAAACAGGCGCGACGTTCTCAAGACAGTAATTATTTAGTGTTTTAAGTGTACTCAAGTTGAACAAACGCCCATGCATATTATATGAGTCCAGTAAAATGCGCAAAATCGTCCGAATATTTTCCACACGGACTGGAACAACCGACCCCAGAACAGTAGTGAATGTATCCTATCCTGCGCTGGTTCATGCGGATTGGGATGGATCCATGCCTGGGCGACCATCTGAGTGCTGGGGATGAAACCCCACGTAGTTTTTTATGAACCAACTATATATCCTAGTGCAAGGGTCATTCCGCGTACCAAGAAGTTATGTTGTCACTTTTGATGATTTTCGGGCTTCCTGTGATTGAACGCTGATTGGTTCACATCGCACATTGCATGTATATTGTTCGCTTTCAACCTTCCTGAAGCGTATCAAAGTTCAATGGAGGGGGTGTCGCAAAGATCCACACCATGGATGGTAAGCCACCACCTGCCACCTGAGTCGTTAAAAAAAGAAACTGTTTTTCCTACTCTGTCAGACATGAACCAAGGACCCGTGCGAATTTCATCATTGACATGAAAAAATGATGGGCGCTTACGCGGGTTGTAAAAAAACGAATGCAGCATGCCCATTTCGAATCGGTATTAACAACAAAGGCAGTATAGACACTCTGATGCTGCTGATGGTTCTAAACCTCTGCCAAGCTGGACAGTCCAGCTACGAGACAAACCCATAAGGGGGAAAAAGCCATGGTCCCGCATGGGCCGGCGCGCAAGACGGTGCGCGCAGCCCAGCAGCTGGGGCTCGCAAAGGGTGCTTAAAGGAAATGGGGAACGTGAGCGCGGCCTCCAATTTGCAAAGCCTATTGCCTTTCATTGCGGTTAGCTTCAGTTTGACAAGCCGAGCTTGAATGCGTGCAACATTTCTCTCTCAACCTCTTCAGTGATGCCTGTTGTCAAGGAAATGGAAGCAAAGATACACCATTCATCTGGATAGTTATGGCAACAACAAGAGACCTGGCAGGGAAGCTTGGCACTTACATTGCAAATTCTCCGCTAGTACCAGATACAGTAGACAGTTCTTGCCAACTCTGCCTCAGTTCTGCAGGAAACTAAAGCCGCTAGATTAGTCACTTTAAAGCAGCTACAGGCAAGAGCAAGGCGACAGAAGAGGAGACAAAGGGCGAATAAGGGAGACAGAGGGGAGACAAAGGGACACAAGCTTGGCAAACAAGGCTGCGGTGACAAATTTGAGCGGGCACAGCCTGTTTGAGACGTAGGAACCGTGATAGCCAAAGATATCTAAAGGCTAAAACTGTCTGGAGAAGAGAAAGCAAAGCCATGGGCAGAGGAACCACCAGGCATGGGGCAGCAGGTCAGGATGACCTATGTCGATTGTCTATATTTGAGCCCCAAACTGAAGCAAAACACAACTCAAACACATTTTTTACATATTAAACGCGTTACCAATTTCAAAACTCACAAATCACCACCTAAACGCCACGACTGCAACGACTTCCTAAAATTTGTCTGCCAACCTAAACCCAGGAAAAGTATACAATTGCCACGACTTTCATCTTTGGGAGTATAGTGGGTAAACCCACAAAGATATGACAGGTAAGCATGGTGTGCCTATGCGAAGTGCCAAAAATACATCAGTAAGTTAAAGTCATAGGCGCTGCACATGTGGGCCTTCCCCATAGGCACACCACATTTGGCACAAGATCTTGTCATCGGCACTTGTTACAACATCGACCCAGTAGATGTAATCTTTATGTCCCTTTGTGACATGTCAGAGAAGCATCTTCGAATGATCCCCGCCAACTGACCTTCTATCTGACATATATGCTGACGTTCTATCTTCGGCATTCTATCGGACATGTACTCTGACAAAAAAAATGACATTATGTCTGACATTTGATATGGCCATCTACCTTAAACATAAACATGTTCACAACATATTATAATTATAACATGTTCATCTGCCAATCTCTATGACATAGATATACTCTTACATTCTACTGTGCCTGTCACATCTTCTGACAAATATCCTACCCTTCTGACATTTTATCTGGCATAGTGAGAGCCGGGTCCGGCCAGTTCACCAACGTTCTGTGGTCTGCGAGGCGAACAGTGGATGTTTTATGATGTGTTTGGTTCATGGCCCAGGACAAATTTTAAAAAATAAACACAAATTTTAAAATGTATAAGACATCTGTTAGAACATCATAACATCATAACTCTGCAATGTGGTCACCCAAACTATACGTTGGCTAACAAAATGATGCACCACCTTCTGCAGAAAACGCTCCAAATATGGCCCAGAGATATCACTTTGTCTAGGCAGGGGATGTGGTGCGACCGCCCAGCTGATTTAACCCTGCGTTTCTGGAATAGCAAATTTTGAAGGTGCATGTAGCCTGTGTCTTCAGCGGGTGCATGTGCTTCAAGTATTCAAGTATCTACCCTCTGGTAAACCAACATAGCTAGTGAAAATGGCCATAGAAATAGTGGATTTTCCTATTTGAAAATGATGATTTTCCATTGTTTTTTCTTTGTTTACCAGGCCGGGTATAGGTCTTGATTTCTTGCTAGTACCTACAGATGCACTGCTCACCGAATCACGGGGATGTTTCCCATGGTGTTTTACCATGTGTTTTGGATGAATGATAGTACACCAACCTGAAATAAAATACGGCTATTCTGAAATGTTTCCCTATACTAATCATCAACTGCAGTGATGTTGCCATGAGGTCGTTATAATTCATCCAGGTTTTTCACATGGGTCAAAAAATGCCATCTGTATTCTTGGCTTTGCTTGAGAGGCTGGCAGCCAAGAATTAAAACTATATGCCACATTGGATTCCCCCATTGTTGGTTCATATGCTACCAGTATCCTATCATGTGGGGCCCCCAAATGATAGCTAAGTTGGTTTATTTGCCTAGGTTAAGAATGGTCTATGGTAGTTATAACTATAGTTAGATCGGGTTATGAACCAACGTTAGCTAGCGGGCCCCACATATAGAGTAGATTTTTGTCCATCAAACATATGACATGTTCCGTTTGTCGAAGATATCGTCTCATTGGGACTGCAAAATTCAACCTCGTGGCCACATCGCCACATGGAAAAACAATGGGAACTCATTTGCCATAGAACTCACCATCTTCGCATGACAAATTGTGACACTGAACATGTGCCCGCCTCCATTCTTAGAAAAAAAAATAGTCGGGAAAAGAACGCTGTGAAAGGACTACCCTATTATTGGTGTGTGTTTGAATTTAATTATGTCAATTTACAAGCGCGTATACAATATCTGGTTGGTGGTTGAAACACCCCTCTTAAAAATATTAATCAATGGGAAGGATTATCCCATATATTATGGAAAATAAAAAATGTTTGAATCCACCAACCAGAATATATTTCTTTCCCCATTTTTGGAATGGCGCAAACCCAAAGCTATCAGTCACATGGTCACTCCCAGAAACCAAAGACGTCGGCCATTTCCACGTCGGAGGCTTCAAAGCCATTCCTTCCCGACCAGCAGTTTGGGAAGAACGGGTATGGGTCAAGTCATTCTACAACAAATGATGATGAACATACTATTGAACATGAATGATTGTTTTTCATGCATCAGTTAAAATGATCGAAGGAAGTTTAGAAGTCAAACTTCCGACAATATGGACAGATGAAAAGCAGAGCAGGGCAAAGGCAGAGAGAAGAGAAAGATTAGAAGAGAGAAGATCAGAAGAGAAAGAGTCAGAAGAAAGAAGGTGCAGATGCGCGAAAAGGTAGGAAAGTCGCGAAACATTGTGTTTTTCCAATGATTTGTGGCTCCGGAGGGTCGAAAAGTAGGCTCGCTAAAGCTGCGGGTGCGGAGCCGGCTGGCCAGATGAGACATGAAAAAGTGCACGCTGTTGTGGCGCGAAGCACATTTTGAAGTCAAAATGTACAAAACACCTCAGCGTCGGACCACTTTTGGAAGTTGAGATGTCGAAAAAGTGCACGCCGTTGTGGCGCGAAGCACATTTCCAAGTCAAAATGCACAAAGCACCACATGTTCGCGCCACTTTAGGAGGTTCGGATGTCGAAAAAGTGCACGCCGTTGTGGTGCGAAGCACATTTCGAAGTCAAAATGTTAAAAAAAAAACGGGTTTCGGACCACTTTTGCAGGTTCAGATGTCGCTTCGCTTCACTACATTACACTACACTACACTCCACTACACTGCACTACACTACACTACGCAACACTACAGCTACACAACTACACAACTACACTCCACTACACTCCACTACACTCCACTACACTAAATCACACTACACTAAATTACACTACACTCCACTACACTAAACTACACTACATTACACTACACTACACTACCTTCCACTACACTTCACTACATTACACTCCACTACACTCCACTACACTAAATTACACTACACTCCACTACACTACAACTACGAATACACAACTACACTCCACTACACTAAATTACACTACACCGCACTATATTACACTACACTACATTGCACTACACTACACTCCACTACACTACACTACATTACACTACACTACATTACACTGAATGAAACTGCACCACATATAGACAGGTCGACAGATAGACAGACAGACAGACAGGCAGACAGACAGACAAACAGACAATAGATAGATAGGTAGATAGGTAGATTGGTAGATAGGTAGATAGGTAGATAGGTAGGTAGGTAGATAGATACATAGAAGATAGGTTGGTAGGTGGGTAGATAGTCAGAGAAAGAGAGAGAAAGAGAGGAGACCTCAAGCACCTTTCGGTCCATCAGTGGATTCGCTCTGCCATCCCTGATTCACAACAACCAATCTCTCCTATAGGTTTCCTATTTTTGAAACGTCCGCCACCGCCTTGTGCGGTACTACTGGTAAATTATTTCAATATGTTACAATATCTGGGTAAATGATAATAATTCACCAACCTGAATAGTTCGGCCATAAAAGGGGATGATTTCCCTTATTAACCATGATTCCAGGGCTCGGGAGAACAGTGAGGTCATGTTGAAATTTACCCAGCAATATGTCGTCTAACACGTGTTGGACTCCCCACCTTTGGTTCGTGAGTTAGTCTGAAATGCGACACCAGTCCAATGAGGACAGAGCATTGCCCAGACTTCAGCGCTCTAATGTGCACAGCTGCTGCCTCCAGAAATGCTCTGCAGGTGAATGGCGGATTCAAAACCAAAATAGGCTTGCTGCTCAGTGAACGATTGTGGGGGTGTCTTCCGTAAACTGATGCAATCCCCTGGTGCACCGCACAGCTTGCACGTCTTACAGAATTATACAACCCAGCCACCAAGCTTTCATAATGAAGAGCTTCTGTCGTTTTGAGAGCCCAGCCCAGACCCTTCTGCAATAATTGCAGATGTGCAGGATCCTCTGAATTGAGTGATGATTTTCCGCCTGAAACAAGCAGATATCCTAGCCATATTAGTGGAGAGTATCACTATGCACATGAAGATCTCTTACAAAAAAACAGAACAGAACAGCAACAAATGTTTCCACCAACACACACACATATACATATATATATATACATCTACATATATTTGTGCCAACCACCATGCAAAGTGGAGAGTATGACCATGCACACACCTATATGTGTTTCCAACAACAGTTAGCACATCATGACATCATGCGAATGGTCCAGGGTCATCATCCACAAATTCTTAACATGTTTGGCGGTATCCAGTCAGCTGAGCTTGATCGAATAGCAGTGCTTGATCGAATTAGCAACTTCCATGGGGGGTTCCATAGTCATGGGGGATATCCCAACAGCTGGATGTTTATAAGGGAAGAAACTATTAAAATGGATGATTTAGGGGGTTTCCATCAATGGGGGCTTATAGGGGAAATCCCATTAAAATGATTTAACATGGATGATTTAGGGGTACCCATACTACTCAGGAAACCTCCAAATCTTATTCCGACCAAAACCGTGACCAAAATGCCGGCAAAACCTCTAGAAACAAGCGCAGTCAAACAGTCAAACAGTCAGGGATCAAATTTCTTGATCTTTTTACGGTAAAGAATGTTATGTGGCTATGTTCATATTCTTCATACTTTAACTGCAAGAACATGATCCAAGCAACAGCAAACTAAACCATGATTTGTTTTGAATATATATATATATGGGTAAATTATAATATTCATTAACCTGAAATAAGACCTCAGACCATATTGGGATAATTCCCATTGATAACCATTATTCCAGTGAGGTCGCAGTGAGGTCGTTGTAATTTACCCAGAGATATATATATATATATACACATACAAACCAACCAATCAGTCTAACATCACCTTTTGATGTTCCCCAATGTTTTCTATTATCAAATAATGGCGGTGATGTCATAGACACCATTGACCATGAGCCGAGTCCTTCTGCAGATATCTGCGAAGTCCGGCAGCGAAAGGACCTGAGTCAAGTCGACGCTACCCGGATGGTACCCTAATAGCTGAGATTGATGGATGTTTCTTCAATTTATTCCCCAAAACATGGGGAATCATATGGAATACCCTCTGGTTATGTCAAAATAGCTATTGAAAAGGGTCATTTGTAGTGGATTTACCCATTGAAAATGGTGATTTTCCATGGTTATGTAAACGTTTACCAGAGGGTAATGGGTTTTGACTAATCCCAATAAATAGTGCTTATAGTGGTTTGATGATTCTGATGGGGAGTTAATTGGAACATCATCCATTATCGCTGGTCCCTTTGGTTCGTAGAAACCCGCACTTGGAACACATGGAACAGTTCATGACGGTCCCTGTGTGTTAAAAAAAACAATCAGGTCTATTCTGTCACCTTCTGCAGACTGGTGATGCAATGGGAATACAACTGAAACTTGGGTGTAACCAGCCAAATTGATTCTTAACCGTCTGTGATATGTAAAATGGAGGGCTTGTTTCATTAGTTTCTCCATGTTCTACCATCAAACATGAAACATTCACGGCCGTAGGGGATTACCTTTCCTCTGTCCCTTTCGGGATCTGACAGTTGAAGGAATCACTTCACGCAGTCATGGTGAAAACACGATATTTCTGCGGGGCAACTGGGCATGGATATCATGTTTGATGCAAACATACGGTGGATGGAAGAAATCCTGCACCTATATATAAGTATGAAATATACATAAGTATGCCACGTTTGTGAAATACTTGATAATACCTGTAATAGGAACGATTCATCTGTTTTTGAAAACAAATCGTAGGGCCGCGTGGTGGATTTCGCCATCTCAGGAAATGATTGAAGCCGAGACGCACCTCCCCAGAAAGCAATGATCAATCTGGTTGGTGTTTAACCATATTGAAAAATATTAGTCAATGGGAAGGATTATCCCATATATTATGGAAAAGATATTATGATCTGGTTGGTGGTTTGAACCCCTCTGAAAAATGATGGAGTTCGTCAGTTGGGGTGATGAAATTCCCAATATATGGAAAATTAAAAAAAGGTTCCAAACCACCAACCAGCAATGTGTACAAAAGGGGAATACCCAAAAAACAGTTTTTGATCAGTAAACCATGGCCGACCAATTTCTAAAATTTTGGGCCATACTTTCAGACGAACCCATATAGCAGAACCAAGAGGAAATCTGAGCTCTGAAACAAATGGGGTACACGAATTTTAAAAAAAAAGTATCACTGGATTTGTACCGAAGAGTCGTAACAGTAACAGTAGATACGTTTGATGACTCAGAAGCCCAGTTATGGTTGAGAAAAATCCTATGTTGCAATCCAAGTTCTTTGACAAAAAACAGTACATACAGTATATACAACCATTCGATTCAATGCGTATATGTTCCATGTATACATACATAGATATACTACAGCAACTAGTATGGATTAGAATACGTGTATGTACATTGTGCATCTTTTATTACATGTGTAAACATTTACATGTATATGTATACATAGTTGAATATGAAAAAAAATATACATATTGGAATACATATATAAACAATACACATATACATATATGAAATATACATATATATATAGAGTTACTATGAATATACATATTGAAAGCTTTATACAATTACACAAATATACAGTAACTGTTTACATTCAATTGCATATGATAGCATAGACTTCCAAACACAAGGACTTTCTCAGAAAGTATTTGAACCCGACAAACCTACCTAAATCACCTTCTGCGGTCTTGGGAAGTCTATGGATAAGCCCACTATGCATCAAAGTGTCCTTTCCGCGCATCAGCACATCGTCGCTCTCAAAGAAAACTTGCCTCCACATCGAAAAAAACGCGTACGGCGTAAGTGATGATCCTTGGTATAAGTCTGGTTGTGGTATGTATACTTATATATATATATAAGTTAATACACATATATATATATATATATGTATATATATATAAAGATATAAATCATAATGTATTACATTTGTAATAATGTATTACATATACATATATATATATCATTGCACATAAAACTATTTAAAACTATTTACAGAATCTATCTATATAGTCTAGTATAATTATATATATATATATATCAATACAACAAAATAAGATATAAGTTAAAAGTGTGATTTTACAACCACTCAGTGACTGGTTGTAAGTGGGGTTGTTACAAGGCAATACCCCAATTCTATTCTACATGGACAACACAAGTAGAGGACTTATCACACAGGGTTATGAACTAGTTACTACTGTACGTGTAATGTCAAGTACCTGCGCCCAATATGGGGCACTGTAAACTGCTCTGGTCTTCTGCAAGCTCTTCGACCTGTTGGGGCGCTGGACGGGCTCGGTTCGACGCTTCTGCCGAGCTTCCACCATGTCCTGGAGAAATTTCAGTGTTCCGGCGTAGCCTGTATCGCCGGCCAAGGAATTTCTGAACATTTTCTGGCGAAGAGGTGCAGGTGGCATGGCTGCTGCAGCTGCCATGAGCCAAAGTTGCAGGAAAGCACCAAGTGAAGCTCTGCCAACATGGCTACGAAGTTTGACCATGGCATGTCGTCAATGAATTCGCTGCAAATCAGAAAGCCACTCAGCAAATGATCCCGGTTCAATTTTGGAGTCATCATCATACTTTTGATTACGGCTATGTATCCCCAAATTTCTTCAAATTTCACTTATACATATAAGTATCTGATTAAAACCCAATTGTTGATGGATTAAGTTTAAATCCAACAAACATTACCATAGCATAATATATAACTCATGTTGGTTTTATCATGATATATCCAGCTAATATTCCCCATTTATATCCCAGTCTAGTCAGAAGCCGACTCTTGGCTCACGTAACTGGCACAAATGGGATTTATAGTACCCTCTGGTTATTTAACATAGCCATGGAAAATGGCCCATAGAAATAGATGGTTTACCTGGGTTTACCTGTTTAAAATGGTGATTTTCCATGGCTATGTTAAAAACTTAGATGGTAATTACATAAATACATCTATAGTTCAACAAGCATCACTTGGGGGGCACCATCTGAAAAAGGTGGCTACTTGGTGGCCCTATCCCAGTTGGTGGGTTTCAACATGTTGCAACCCCACCCAAGTAGATTAAGGAGTTTTAATTAAGGTTACAACTAACTGTAGTTACTGTAGTTATAACCCGTTATAACACACTGGAATCAAACGTGACAATTGAAGTTCACCACTTATGGACGATATTCCCATTCAATCCTCTATTAGAGGATTTCCTACCTAGCCACCTTTTTGCTTCAAACATTGAAAACCTAAATATTGCTGCTTAAAACCAATATCCCATTCCATCCATTAAATCTGGATAAATTACAATAATTCACCAACCTGAACTAAGACTAATATTCGGACAATTCCCCTTGCTGACCATCATTCCAGTGAGGGAGAAGAGTGAGGTCGTTATAATTTACCCCATATCTATCTATATATATATATTATGTACCATGATAATCCATGACATTCCAAGTAATGTGCTATACCCACAATCATACCATTTGGGAATGATTTAACGGCTTAACCATATTTAACCGGATTAGATCCAATGAACAGTCACCATTAAATCCCATTCAGTCAGTCCTCCATTGATCCAGGATTACCAGTCAATCCCATGTGATTCATCTACCCATGAAGATTTGCTTAATTTTCTATGATTAACACATGATCAATAGATGATTAATATAGCTGACATATGGGTAATTGTGATGATTACCCTCTGGTAAACTAACAGTTTGCGAACTGGAAAATCACCATGTTTAATGGGTAAATCCCAATTTTGAATGGGTATATCACCATTTTTAATGGGTATATTACAATTTTTAATGGTATATCACCATTTTTAATGGGTGAATCACCATTTTTCATGGGTGAATCACCATTTTTCATGGGTATATCACAATTTTTCATGGGTAAATCACCATTTTTCATTGGTAAATCACAATTTTTCATGGGTAAATCAACAATTGTTGATGGGAACTCACTTTTCATTTTTTTGGTAAATCAACTATAAATGATCATTTTCCATCATTTTCCATAGCTATTTTGACATGACCAGAGGCGACATCGTGTCGTTCGAAACGCTGCCTGGGTTGAATCCCCGTAGCCCAGCGCTTGAAACGGGTGGCCAGGACAGCCGCCTGGCGGGGTTTGTTCAGCCCCCGGGTTTGGGTGAACGCCCTTGAAACAACTTGAAACTTCAGTGACTTTATGGCATATATGGGCTATAATTTGCGCCAAAAATGGGATGTTCATTCCTGAAATTCTGCAAAAATGGGATCCATCGGGACGACGTTTTTTATTTTCGAAACAAAAATGGGCTCAATCCTTGAAACCAATGACTTTTTGACTTAAATCCTGGCAAAAGAAAATATGATCAGTCTGCAAATGGGCTGACTTACTGGCTTATAGCCCAAGAATTCATTATCATTCTTTTTCAGGGTTCCTTTTGATCCCTTGGAGTGGTTCGCATTTTATGAAATAAAAAAAATGAAAATAGATAAATAGATAACTACATAAAATAAATAAAACTATACATATATAATATATAATATATAATATATAATATAATATATAATATATAATATAATATATAATATATATAATATATAATATATAATATATAATATATAATAATAATATATAATAATAATATATATATATATCCGTACTACATATTCATGTCTTAATTCTTATAACAATGTGTAACACCATCTTCCGTGCTTGCTTTTCCGCCACCCACTAGCTGAGGGCTGAACCCATCTGAAAAAACTCCAAGAGAGAGGGGGTTCCATAGTGATGGGGGTACCCCAATAGCTGGATGGTTTAGTTCAGGGAAAATCCCATCTATAAATTTATATACAGTCCTATTTTCAATCTAGCTATTGATAACTTGATGTTTTCTGAAAACGAATGGATGGTTTCTATAAACGGATGATATGATAACTTTGGGTACCCCTATTTTAGGAAACCTCCATATATCATGATTATTGTGTGTTGTCCACATTGCCCAACAGCAACTTAACATAGAAATAGAACACATCTGCCATTTATCTAGATCATGTCCGAAAGTATCCCTGCAGATTTTCCAAACACACACATACATATATATATATACACATAGAGTTGTATAGACATGTTTTGTGCCCGTTAAACCCATAGTATGTTTATATATGTACTATGTTTATATATGTACTGTGTATATATATATATATCCATCCTAGCATTGTTATCATTATCCAGATGTAATCTTTTAATCATTTTTATCAATGTAAAACAGATATACCTATGGTTTGAACCTCCATCAATCCCCATGTTTGATAGTCAAATTTGACGTTTGGCTGGTTATATAAAATAATAAATATATGTATATATATATATATATTTGCATTATATATAGATATATATAATTTAATTTTAGTTGGTTGAAGATGGTCGAGGACCTAGTTCTATATCTAAGATTCATTTATTAGATCACATGTTTCGTGATTAGAGTACTTAAGATTAGTTTTTTTGGCTGATCAACTCATATTAATGACCATGTGTGACATCTTTTAGAATGCGGCGTTAGTATTTTGATGAAGAAATCGCATGTTTTACTTCTTGAACCATTTCGATTATAGAATCAACTTAAATGACTGGTTGGTGGTTTCAACCCCTGAAAAATATGATTTCGTCACTTGGGATGATGACATTCACAATATGATGGGAAAGTCATTCAAAATTCCATGGTTCCAGTCACCACCAACCAAATCACCAGTGTTGACTTGTATGTTTCACCACGTTTCACGACGTTTCACCGTGTTTTCTCCATGTTTGGCTGCTGAAATCCGCCGGGACGGAGCGAGATCCACGGGACATCCACGCCTTCTTGTCCAAGTCCAGTAGCGTCAGAACGCCACCGCCTTGGATGGCGAGATCCCGTGGAAATGCCATTGATCAATGGTACAATGTGGGCCCCCCAAGATAGCTAAGTTGGCGCCAATAAGTGCAATTTCACGATGGCTTATGGTATTTATAACTATAGTTACTGGGGCGAATCTAAACCAACACACATAACTGTGGCCCCCCCTTCTACGTTATGTGAACGTTGGTTTATAACCCAATCTAACTAGTTCGTTATAACTACCATAAACCCAAACGTGAAATTGTAGTTATGTTCACCAACTTAGCTATCGAACGGGGGCCCATCAATGGTACCCTCTGATAATACCCAGGGCTCGTGCATGGGACTAGTGGGACTAACCATCAAGCATAGAATGTGTGATGTAAGGTGCTTTAGCTTGCCATCAACCAAAAGGAACATGTTACCCTCTGCTAACTTAACAGTTTGCTATTGAACATGGCCATAGAAATAGTGGATTTTCCCATTCAAAATGGTGATTTTCCATAGTTATGTTAGTTTACCAGAGGGTAATTTAAGGATCCTCAAATGGAAAAAACAGGATATATAATGATAATACGGAAAATAATGGAAATCATGATATTATGAATGGAAATGTCATTCATAATGTAATGAAAATACATCGATTATATTTAGTAGTGATATATGGAACATAATAATATAGTGGTGATATGTCATCGATGTTTTCAAGTGAACTTACACAATCAATAGGACCTCATAATGTATGATTGATGGGAGTTAACTAACACCTGGGGATCTAAACAATATAATGGTGATATTCAAATTCAATCTCAATATTATGATATGATGGATTTAATGGGATCTATATAATGTGAATATAATGGGAATACAGCGGTGATATATGATGGGGGCATATAGCAATGACACAATGGTGAAATATAATGTTTCCAAACATCAACAGTGATATGGTAGGATATATTAGGGACTTAAATGGGGTCTATAGCATATACAGTACTTATGTATATATGTAGATGATAAGGACATATCATTGGGGTTATGATTGAAGGGGTTTAACCAACACAAATGAGGGATTTGACCAAACAAAATGGTGGTATGGTTGAATATGGTTGAATATAATATGGATGTGGGTCAAAATGGAAGACCTAGGGGACCACAGATGTTAGTCTAGTTTAGTATTAACCATCCAATTATTGGGGTACCTAATTTTGACCCATACCCATATGGATATGATGGGAGTATACATAGGGATATGTGTGGGATATAAAAGGGACTTAAATGGGTCATGAATCAATGCATATAATACAATGGGAATATAATAGGATAGGGATTATGATAGGAATTTAGTGAACATATGCTGGGATGCAGTGGAATATAGCCAACAAATAATGGGATATAGTAGAGATCTGATGGGGATATAGCGGGGATATAATAGAATGAGATGGGATTGTGTTCTACCTGTTGGCTGTTGAATCGGAAATGGATCATGATGTGAAAGTGATATAGTAAATAGTAATGGATATAGCTGTGACAAAGTGATATGAGTACATATGAGTACATAGTGATATAGTGATATATATATATAGTGATGTATTACATAATGATATACGATATAATAATGTAATATGTCAGTGTACTATATATTACTATCTCACATTACTATATGGTGACATAGTGGCAGACTGATATATTACATGATAGGCCAGGCATCCTGTCTGATGGCGGCCATCAGTCTAAACCATTGACCCTCGAGTTGTACTTGTGGAGTTTGCTCTGTTCTTTGGTGCTTGAACCTTTTGCTGCCGATCAATCTCCAGGTTTACCCCTACAACGGTAGATCACCCAAGTTGGTGCATTTTGGGGACATGGAGGTTCCGTCAGATTTTCGGACATCATATTTACATCACATTGCAGCATCACATTTGTCGATGCTGAGACGCTTTGCTTTCATTCCCTTGTTCATGTTGGGTCAACGATCGCCAGACGCTACACCAGAAGAAACGGAGTTTTTGCGGCTGTCTTGTCTGAAGTTCTGGTTGGCTCTGTGGTCATTCCGTTTCGTTTTTCATTTTGCCCACGGATTTTGTTTCGTTTGTTTGTGTGTGTTTTTGGGTGGAGCAAACACATCAATTATCCCATCCCAACTCATTAAATCCCAATAAAATTGGACATTGTTCGAAGATCCCCCCTGCCTTCTGGATCCTCACCGCAAATGCGGTGTTGGGATCTGGATGGTGAACCGGGGGAGTCAGGGGGATCTCTGCGATCTCTCTTTGGGTAGTCGGGATGTAGCCGTCCTGGCATGGAAAGCGTCACAAGCAAGCGCCCCAATAAGGTTTCAGTGTCAGCTGGTAGTGAAGTGGCTCTGCAAGCGCGGGAGCAAAAGAAAACATGATGACCCCGACCTCCTCAGCAACATTTCCGTCGGCCATTCCTGTCCCCATTATATGCGCAAGAGTAACTTCTTGTGCTTCGTTGACTCCCGCTAAATCAACAATTAGATCAAGGTGTGAAATCACATGATTTGTTTGTCAATTTGATTACTGTAGAACCACCACCATCATGTTCCACCATTTTCCAACTTTTAATGGGTTAATTGTCCTCATTATATTCTCGGAAACATCACAGTATCTATTATATATATATATCACAAGCTATCTTTGATTATGTTCACCTGTATAATGCCGCAACTACCATTATTCCCATGGTGTATATACAGTATATACAGATACATATGTATATATGTAGCGTTTTGTTATCCTCATGATCTCCCCATTATATTTTCATTACACAGCTATATCCACATTATATCATTATATCCCAAACAATGGCGTCATTTTTGTTGGTTTAAATGCGCAGTTTTGATGGATATGATATATAATGGGAAAGTAATCTTAGGAACGATAAGAATAGTAATTGATACAATGTAATACAAGTATATAGGCATAGCTGGATATATCATGATCTGGGTGAATTCCAATCATTCACTATTCTTAGAAAAAAACAACTATATCGGGATAGATACACCATACTAAGCATATTCTATGGTGACGTCGCAGTGAGGTCGTTATAATTTGACGCCAACGACCTGCTTGACCCTCCCGGCATGGGAGGATATTGGAACTTTGCATCACTTGGTAAGCGGTTGCTAAGTTTGCTAAGTGAGTTGCAACTTGGATTAGGAATACATATCACATATCTACACCAAAAACATTGTGTATTTAAAAGAGGACATGAGAACTATTTTTTGAATACATGAATATATATATATATAGCATATAAGCAAAAAAAAATATATGCATAGTAACATCATAGGTTAGCAAACATTTGGGAATGTATGAAGATTAACTTTCAACGAATACCATAGGTTCGTTCAAAATGTCAATGCTAAATATTCCTTTTGTAAGGGGCCCAAGGAAATACATTCCCATATGCTCCATGTATGGAATATTTACCAACATTTGCCTCAAAATCATCCAAATGTAGGTAAATCCACCATACATGGAGCATAAGGGATTGGAACAAAAACAACTTGCTAAGCTTCTTAAAATTTCAGGCATCGTCTCAGTAAGATTTCGAATCAGTCATCAGTTGAGCCACTGGAAGCAGACTCGAAGAAGAGCTTCGCAGCAGCCTGCGAAGCTGCGAAGATGAAGGGCTTCAGCGGCTGTTACCCGATGTAGCCCCCGGTGGATAGGCGAATACCATATGTTTCTGTTGGACAACTCCAGCAACTCTGAAAAATGCATTGTGGAGATATTAACCGACATATACGGTAAGTGTAGTTTTAAGCTTGGATTCAGGACGGTTTCAAATGAAATTATTTGATGGGCACATTTCCATTGTTGTCGATCCAATCCGAGTTTCATGCCATTTCGATCCATTTCATTTTGCTAGCGTCGATCAAATCATCATTTCTGTTGAGCCCGGAGTCCCAGGTTTGACCCGAGCCCCAAGTGCTACAAGTGCTACAGGTCTTCATCGGCAATATGAATTGCCAGAACCATTGGATCCATAAATTGGACAGACCCGTGAATGGAAGTGAATCAAGATTGGATACTCTCAGGATGGTTACCATCTGGTCATTTTTCACAGTTTGCTATGGACCAGTCGGCCCATTAAAAAGGTGACCAGTCAATCAGCAGGTCTTAGAAGGTGTGGCCACCTAGTTGGTGACTAGATTCGTGGTTTACTTGTAGAGATATCACTATATATATAATATATATATATATACACATATGATCACATATGGGTAAATTATCATATTTTTATCATATTTCACTACCCTGAACTAAGGCCATTTGGGGATGATTTCCCTTATTAACCATTGGGGACTTCTTCACCTTTCTGGGGACGGCCACGGCGGAATGCCTGTTTGGTTCATAAAAGGAGATGCCTGTTGCTGCTGCACCTGAGCCTGCTGTGCATTTCCTTTCCCTCGACTTCGACCCTTGCCTTTCCCGTTGTGCTTCCCTTTCGTGCGCTTTCGAGCACTGGAACTCCGTGTACTGTACTCGATCTTGGATGCTTCTCCTGTGGGTATGACTCCCAATTCCAGGTGGAATCGTCTTCTGCGTCCCATTTGTATGGGGTCGTGTCGTGCTTGGTCCCACGGGACCAGTGCGTTTTGCACAAGGGGCAATTCACGTGCACCTTTTTGTTTAGTCTTCCGCAGGGGCACCTCCACGGAAATGATTGCGACAAATCCGTCATTGCTTCATTAGCTGAATGAATCGCTCGTCCCTCGAATGGTGTGAAATCAAGGTTTTTCGAATCCAGAGCAGCTGTTCTTTGTTCAAATTGGGATGTCCCTTTGAATGTCGATGCTAAAGGCTTCTTGCTTTGGCACGTTCCCGCCTTAATCACCTCGTCTTCGCCTCCGTAATAGCGAATATTCACGTAGATGATGACCAGGAAATAAATTACAAAAACCCAGCCAAAGCTGCACATCCACACTGGAGCATGGAGTTGCAGAACCAGAGAAATTCAATCAGATTCAATCCAGTCGTTAACAAGCAAAAACCAGCAAGTTAGTCAGTGTGAGGCCACTGCAGAACCGTAAAGGCCAAGCAAGCTTAATAGGATGGACAAGTCAATACCCAAAGCACAGCAAGGACCAATTGTATTGCAATGTGAAACTGTGGGTCAAATGACAGCAAAAAAATCGCAAAGACAATCCAAAGGCAAAGTAAATCAGAATTGCATTGTATAGTGAAATCGAAGTCAGAAATGAATGCCCGCGGTAACGTCTATGGCAAAACGACGATGACTGCTTATGTTAGCGCGAGGTGGTCCCACCGTCACACTAGTAGCTTATAAAACATTCTATCCCAAGCCATGTCATCACCCCTCGTGTTGATCGCGTGGCTTCGTCCCGGCGGCCTCACCCCCTGGTAGACCCAAGTTGTTAGCACATTTCTGGAGGTCCTACGGCTGGGACTGGTTGATCCCCCCGGGGTATCAAACAGAGCCGGGTGGATTCTACAAATGGCCCATAGTTCCATCATGGTGGATTTATCACTGGAATAACTGAAAAACATGGAAAAACATCTTCAAATCCAAGTTTGGTCCGGATATCAACAGGAATATCATTCACGGAAGGGAAGCTAGACAATGATTGTCCCCCCAAACAGTTCAACGCTCAAAAATGACTGACTTTCTATCTCTGACAAAGATGCCCCATAAGAAATTGTGAAAGCGAGCAACAATGCTGAGGATGCTTAACTTGTTTAATCCAATGATGGCAGTGGTTACTAAAAATATGAACACACTGAGTATATTTTAAACATATGTTCAAACAATATATGTATATATATATATATATCCACGTTTTCAAATGCTGCAACCCAGTGTCTTTTGATACAATGTAGAGTGCAGGTGTATAAATGAAACAAAAGTGTTGGGTTACACCTCGCTGAACGATAATCATGATTGAGGATTATCATTATATAAGGACGGAAAAAAGTCACGCCGACCAACGAGTCCTATTGTATATCCCCAGAATCATCCACAAACCATATTAATACAATGTGGGGCCCCCTAGTGATAAGTTGGTTTATAACCCAATCTAACTATAGTTAAAACTACCATAAACCCTAGTTATTGTAGTTATAAACCAACTTAGCTATCTTGGGGGCCCCACTTTGTAGCCATTGTTTTTCCTTTCTTTTCCGTGTATCAATGCATCCTTGTGTATATAACATGGTCCACTAGATGGGTTTGCCGGAGAAATAGGGTACACCAAATTTGATGAACATCACACGGGATGGGGCCCAAATGTTCGGAATCGCGTTCAGTTGGTGAACCTAAAACTCGAATAACAAGTTGGTGGATGATACTTATTGGTAACTACAATAACTAAGTTGGTTTATAACTACAATAACTAGGGTTTATGGTAATCATAACTATATTTAGATGGGATTTCAAACCAGCTTATAACTGGGGAAATGACGATCCTGTATCAATCATTGTCTTTCCCACAAAACTGAGCATGACATAGCTATCCAACCCATTTTCAGATCCACATTGCTACTCCAATCTTCAGCCGTAGCTATGCCCCCAGTGTTCGAAGAGCACCTCCCACTGACGCTGGGTCCTCTAAGCTCACACATTGGGAGAAGTCGGAATCCAGCTCACTCCTCCGGCAAGTCTACAGTTAAAAGCCCGAGCGCCAGTTATTTTAATGGCTATGTGCAAATAGGGCTATCATTCCATAAATGGGTTGACTTACTGACTTATAACTGGTAAAGGACCACAACTGTAGAATCTGGGAAACATTTTCAGGACACAGGGATATATCGAGGCAAACACCAAGAACATAAAGAAATTATGGGATAGTAACCATACAAAAATGATAGCACCATTTGAACATTTAGAAATACACCCAATATATTTTTTGTCAGACTTTCCCCCTACTAATATCTACTTCATGGTCCTACATGATTCGTAAACCATCAAATTTCACAACAAAAACCATATGTTCAAAGCCATGCGTCACGAATGACTTGCCAGTGAAGCAAGTGTGACAAACCCGGCAATAAACCTGTTAGATGTTTTCAACATCTGTCCAACAATCCATGGCTTCGAAAATTGATGGTGGTGCCGCCCGTATGTGCGTTGGTTTATAAACTTTGTTAACTATAGTATATACATATACACTGTATATATATATATATACACACCATAAACCATAGTTAGCATAGTTAACCTATGTTAATCTCGTCAAATTCCCATCGGGAAAACCTCAAACGACTCCCGCGAACCCATCGACGAAAAAACGCCTCCAGGCCCTTAAGAGGCTGCCGTTGCCTCGCTCGTGCAACCTCGGAGCTGCCAAGGATTCACCGAACAAATTTCTGTCCTACATAGGGGTATTATCAAACTGTGACATCTTTGTAGGATATATTATGAGATATATATCCTACATACAGCTGGGCAAATTAAAACATTTCACTAACCTGAAATGTTGGGCTAGTTCAGGGGATCATTTCCCTGACACAAACCATCATTCCCAGTGAGGGAGAACAGTGAGGTCGTTATAATTTACCCAGATAGAGGTACTATCTGTTTGATGAGATATTGCCATCAAACGTTTTTTTTTGACATAATCTACGAATATATACAGAGATAGATGAGAAAAGTGTGTGGCATTGCATCATCATCAAATATCACCAACCATCTAATCGTATCATAATGATAGTTCAAACATGTTTAAACCTCATAAAACCACTATAACATTGATGATCATTGATGAAAAAATCATTTACTTACAGTAAATCCGGAAAAAATAACGGCAATCAACGGGGACAAGATACCATTTATGCTAAATTCCGTATGAAATCCTGATTTTGGCTGGCTAAACCTCTATCCGCCTAATTTGGCATCAGTAGATCAAGTTCGAAAACGCTTGAACTGTGCATGTGCGTGGTGCCAGCTCGGCTTTATCCCGTGCGTTTGCATACCTGCGTTCCAAGAAAAAATGGTACCCAATGGTATCACATGCCCAATAATGCTGGAATATTAAGTATGTTGATGTTTAAGTCGATTTAAGCATCCAAAATTGGGACTGAAGCATGAATCATGAACATATTTGCAATTCACAATCAAATATATTAGTTGAGCATGTTGAAGCATCAAAGCACATCGGTGGGATCAATGGTGGGGGTCCATTTATTCTGCAACGGCACAGGTACCTGGCTACTGTAAGAAACGGCAAATAAAAGATGTAACAACATGACCACCCAAAATGGAGACATGGACTTGTATCATTATCAACATGTTCGGATATCATGATCTGATTGAACATTATGGGATGATATCACCAAATAACAACACAACCAACAAACTTAGCTTCCATAAAATGCCACTTGAATGATGTTCAATTCTTGATGGTCAAATCCCAATATATCACCATTGCATTGTGTTCTCCATTATCTTTTGATTCCCCATTCTGTTCCATTAAATCTACCTGTTCTACAACATTTACCTGTTCGTCTCAACTATATGGCAAATGTGGGTAAAAATCCCCATTATGCAAACATGATTCTTATATATTATTATCCTATCTTATATCCCCATAAACCTAGCTGGTTGGTGGTTTTAACCATCTTGAAAAATATTAGTCAATGGGAAGGATTATCCCAAGATTATAGATTATTATATCCATAAACCACAGTAAGCAAGTCATGTGCATCAACTTAGCTTTTCGGAATCTTTCGGGGGACCTCGTCCCAGGCACAGCTTCCTGAGCTGCGTCCGGATATTAGACGCCTTCAACGTCAAGGTACCTGGCGGGTCGACCAAAGAAGGGTGAATTTTTGACCAAGAAATGGACATGCTATGAAGGGTTTCATGGTTAACCAACAAAATGGCTAGTGTTGTGTAGATGTTGAACAGTAAGAATGAGGAATTATAGCTGATTTGTGAAAGCTAAGTTGGTAAACAGAACTGGATGGATGCATGTGCTGAGAGTAAAAAACGAATTATATAGTTAGAGGTGATAAAATAAACCTAGAAATAAACCAACAAACAAAACTAACTGGGTCATCCAACATTGGAGGGAGTTGAGAAAATATGAACATTGGAGAAGCAGGGTTCAACATGTTTTTGACAACAGTCATCTGGCATGGTCCAAAGAAAATGTTTTACTGGAGTTTTTTCTCTCTACATCTATCTATCTATCTATCTTTCTTTCTATCTTTCTATCCATCTATCCATCTATTCATCTATCCATCTATCTATCTATCTATCCATGCATCTATCCATCTATTCATCTATCCATCTATCTATATACCTATCTATCTATCTATCCATCCATCTATCCATCTATTCATCTATCCATCTATATACCTATCTATCTATCTATCTAATCTAATCTAATCTAATCTAATCAAATCAAATCTATCTATCTATCTATCTATCTATCTATCTATCTATCTATATATCTATCTTATCTATCTTATCTATCTACCTATCTATCCATCTATCTTTCTATCTATCTACCTATCTATCTATCTATCTATCTATGTATATATATATATTAATATATAAGCTATCTAATTTATCTCATCTATCTTATCTATCTTATCTGTATTACATATCTTATCTGTATTACATATCTTATCTATCTTATCTGTCTTATCCATGTTATCTATTTTATCTATCTTATCTACAGTATCTTATCTAGCTGATCTAGCTTATCTATCTTATCTATATTATCTATCTTAAATATCTTATCTATCTTATCTATCTAATCTATCTAAGCTATCTAATCTAGCTTTATCTATCTATCTATCTATCGTTCTATCTATTTATTTATCTATCTATCTTGTCAACCTAAACCAATGCCAATCCTGTGGAAGAAACATCGGGGAAACATCGACAGCGAACTGCATTATTATCATTATTTCAGACCTGAATTGGGACACTTCCTAAACTATCCAGAAGCACGGTAAACTTGAAAATTATGAGTCAGAACCTGCAGCAATTTGTTGTCTTTCTCCGAAAGCTTTGCTACCAGTTCTTGGCATGTTTTTGTTGCACCATGGAGAGTCCAAATCACCATAAACCAACTAGTTGGTGGTTGACCTACCCCTCTGAAAAATATGAGTTCGTCAGTTGGGATGATGACATTCCCAACTGAATGGAAAATAAAAAATATGTTCCAGTGATTGATCCACACCCAAAAACGTGTCGATGTCATGGTTGGAATCATGTCATCTCATGCATATCTCATGGCTATATAGCCAAGCTTAGATTCTTAGATACCCTTTAGTTCATTCTTCGACGAAAATCTGTAGTCTTTCACAAAACTCATCCCACATCGGCACATCAACAACCACTAGATCAGCTCGGCACGTGGATGGCCAACATCAACCATTTGGAAACACAAAAAATGCAGTTGATTCAAACAAATAAAGCCGTTTATAATTAAACACATCCAACATAAGTGTATTGTAAACGATTGTGTATAGTTACATCTGATACAAAATGGTTTATAATATTTCATAATAGTTTTAATATGTTTTAAATTGACATCTTGTCTTGAAAGTCTTACATCATCGTGCATCTAGCATAATCGAACTATAGACACACTCATCATCCAATCGTTTGCCGAAGAATTTCCGGCAACTTACGAGGCTGGCCTTCGGCCACGCAACTCTCCGGCATGCCATGCGAAAGTCACGTCTCCCACAGCTGCCAATGGCTGGCTGAGGTTGGTTAGGAAAGCTGATTTAATGCTGATTAATGGTGTTGAGGTATGATGGCGGTGTATGATTTAATGGTGATAGATGGTGGTGATAAATGGTTGGATTGGATCTTGATTTCATGGAACCATCAACTTTCGGAAATCCTGAGAAGATTCGTTAACCGATTTTGAGTCATCTGAATTGAAATGTTGAATCGAACATGCGGAATGTTGACGGGTTTGAAACCAGCAAACACGAAGTTTGTGATGGATGGGGCCATTCTGTTGGGAGGAAATACTCAGGTCCATTGAATTCCATCTCCGAAATTCTTCCGAAATTCTTCCAACATCTTCGAACACATGTGAAATCAATAATATTCTATAACGTGTTTATATGTGTTTTGCCTCTTTTAATTTCATGTTCTTCATGAAGAAATGTATTGAACAGTTTGCCCTCTTTCAAACGTGCGTGCTAAACCCCCATGTCTTGTTGGTTTGAGCTGCAAAAACGCAATGGTCAGAGATCGACAAAGCACAGCATAAGCACATGAACTGTCCGTGGACAACCATCAGCCAGCACTTAGTAGTACCAGTCATTGGGTTGTCTAAAAATAGGCTATACATGGCTATACCACCCATCACCCATCTATATATGATTGTTTTGATGGGGAAAATGATGATGATTATTTTTCAGACAAAACTACATGGATTTTCAACTGAACAAGCACCAATCCAAGAACCTTTTGGGAAATTTGATGTCATAGTTGCTTGGAGTTTCGAGGTTCATCATCCACAGTAGAAGAGGACCCGCTCAGCGGCCCCTCCCCACCAAACCATGATTTGGTTCGGCCTCGAATGGATCAACTCCTGGTAGAATTTTCAGACAAATCTCTGGATAGTTTTTATTAGATAGCTCCCCTATGTCCAATTTTTAACTTTTTTGCAACAAAAAAACATTATTGGAAACAAAAAATGATGGCAATACAACACCCAACGATGACAACGCACAGAAATAAGACTGTTTGTCATGTTTGTGCAAAAAAAACGAAGGGAATAGATCCCGCCAAATCCCAAACATCGTCGATTCCCAAAGAAGAAACCATGATTTTATTCCTAGCCCCCAAATTGGAATGTGGTCATTGAAGGAACCTGGGCAGCGCGAGGGTATTGCATCACCTTCTTGATCCGGACAAAAAGAGCTGACACCGAATTCGCTTGGACATATCCAAACTCAAGTCAAGTATAAGGCATAATATGTCATAATAAAACATAATAAAACTATATTGTGAACCACTTAAGTTTGACACATAAAATTTGAACCATAGAAATCCGTGGATCTATGCTGGTATGTCTTTCTTTTGTGTGTGTGTGTGAACTGCCCAAAACCCATCAAGACCATCTGCCACCCCTTCTTGGTTGATATGGGTGTCCATATCGAGTTATCTTGATTTCCACTTTATCTTTTCGTTTGCCATCGGGATCGACTCCCAAATGCTAATACTACCCTTTTCCTTTTGAAATATCCACATCACTCGCGGTTTTCATTCTGAATGTATGATGTTTTCTTTTCTCCATTCAAGCACTTTTAAGTACAACCCATCAATAAACCACACATCCAACCAACAGGATTTCGGAGTGTTCTAACATATTTTCAGTGGGAGCTCAACGATGCCGAGATTGATGGCATCCCCGAACTCCATGGAGGTCTATCGCACCGTGGAACACCCACAAGGTGGTGCCTCCCCAGTGATGGCACCGTAAACCTCACCCCACAAGAAAAATCCTATACCATCAACCAGAGTTAACTTATAGCTGTTATTCACATTACATCATAATTAAATCACATTTTACCATTATACACATGATACGCCTTAATCAATTCCTTAAGTGACAAGCCCCCATCAACGGCTCAACCACTTGACTGCGGTCCCGTGCCCTGCTGGTGGCATCGTATACGAAGATAAAGCCTACGCGGATGACTTCGAGATCTTCGAGGGTAATCCGTTGAAGTTAATTAATTAGTTAATTAGTCACAATCTTAATTAGTTGGACCACGGCCTTTAGACGGCCGTGGTGTTTTGTTGACGTTGGGGGGGTGGGGTGGAGTATGGTGGGGTGGGGTTGGGGTGGGCATGTATTAACGTTCATGTGAACTTGCAGATGAAGTACATGCTACGCTCTGGCTGCCGGCAGGTGCATGTATTCATGGGTGGGGTGGGGTGTGGTGGGGCATGTATTAACGTTCATGTGAACTTGCAGGTGAAGGACATGCTACGCTGTGGCTGCTGGCAGGTGCATGTATTCATGGATAATAACGTCCATGACTCTTTTTTTCATAGGTCATGCTACGCTACTCTATGTTCTCTTGAGCTTTGTACTCATGGGTCATGCTACGGTACTGTACGTTCTCTTGAACTTTGCACTCATGGGTCATGCTATACTGCTATATGGTACTGTATGTTCTCTTGAACTTTGCACTCATGGGTCATGCTATACTGCTATATGGTACTGTATGTTCTCTTGAACTTTGCACTCATGGGTCATGCTACGCACCCCTCCGTGACACAATATGCGCTCATGTGGTGCTGGCGCTCAAGCTTACAGAGTCCATATCCTAAAAGGTTCTTGGAAGAACTGGAGGCGCTGCTCTGACAATAAAACGGTTAAAAACATGTGACGACGAATTAGTTTCAGGTTGGCCAGAAAACCCAAACATGGTAGTTTCGTGTAGGCGAAATGAATGTTTTCGTTCTACTGTTTGTGAATAATAAAGGGTTAACGAAATAAAAACACACAAATTCCTGATGGCACGAGCACATCAAACATGACCAACAACATCTCATTAATCAAAAAAAAAACACGGCCATCTAAAGTCCGTGCTCCTAGTTACCACATGCTAAGATTATGGCAAAGATTGTGGAAAAGTAAGGGTACCACCTGGTAAACTAAGATTGCTATGGAAAATCACCATGTTATTTTTTGGTACACCAAGTATAAATCACCCATGTTCCATAGCTATGTTAGTTTACCAAAGGGTAACAACACAACACCATCAATGGCTATTTCAGCGACCGATGTATTGGAGGTACCTAGGCTATGTAGAAGGCCTATGTACGGAAAATGTAAGGGGATATGTCATGGAATAACATCCACAAAAAAGCAGAATCAATAGTGAGAAAATATACGGATGGGGAAAATAAACATCTACTAATTAGTTTCAATCTGTGAAAGTTATAGGCCATGCGCACAAAAGGGTCATTTAATCTGGCAACCGAAGATACAATCAAATCCCATGGATTTCTAGATAATCTCGCCATCCGCTTGATAGTGGCTACATGTGTGTACGAACCGAACGCCACTGGCGAGGTCAAACATGAAGATCCAGGACGCAGAGTTAGGCCATGTCTAGATTTCATTGAAAAAACATTTCAGAATATGTCAAACTTGTCAAACCCAAACAAACAATGAAAATTAATGAACATTAATGAACCCTGGACTGTTGAATTAGCGGACCCTTTTAGTTCCAGGATTGGGCCAATTTTTTCTCATATTTATTGATCCATAGCTTCCCTTTTTAACTTCGTGATGCTACACGGTTTTTTCCCCCGCCATCTTTTGGTTCGGCTTCGCACCATCTGAATTTCTGTAGTAGTTGCCCGTCACCACGGAAAAGCGTTCCTGGCAACTCTCGTGGGACATCACTGGTCGCTGTGGATTCGTGGATCACTGGTCAGCATCAATGGAGTGGCTACAAATACCTCATGTTATTGGGGAGTAATCACTTACCCTCTGGTTGTTTAACATAGCCATGGTATAGATGGCCCATAGAAATAGATGGTTACCGTTCTTAATAGCATGGTGGATCTTTCCATGGCTATGTTAAATAGCCAGATGGTATTTATCAGTTACATCAGTTACATCCCTCTTTTGATGGCTATATAAATCGTGTTCATTTGTTTCTTCTGGTTAACTTCCTGTAGTTTATCAGGACATACTAGAAGGTGTATCAAGATAAGGCACCGAAATCAGCCAAACTATTGATCATTTCCAACAGGGCAACCGTATATGGGTTTGACTTAACATAAATACCCCCATTGTCGTTGGGAAACTCATTGTCATTGTCTCCGTTTATCGAAGGAAGTTTAGAAGTCAAACTTCCGACCATATGGAGTGATGGAAAGCAGAGGTGGTAAGAGTCAAAGAAGACAAGAGAAGAGAAGAGAAGAGAAGAGGAAGAGGAAGAGGAAGAGGAAGAGGAAGAAGAAGAGAAGAGAAGAGAAGAAGAAAGAAGATCAAAAAGAGAAAGTCTCAGAAGAAAGAAGATCCAGGTGCCCGAAAAGGTAGGAAAGTCGCGAAACACTATGTTTTTCCAATGATTTGTGGCTCCGGAGGGTCGAAAAGTAGGCTCGCTAAAGACGCGGGTGCGGAGCCAGCTGGCCAGATGAGAGATGAAAAATTGCACGCCGTTGTGGCACAAAGCACATTTGCAAGTGAAAAAGCTAAAAACACCCCACGTTTGGACCACTTTTGGAAGTTGAGATGTCGAAAAAGTGCACGCTGTTGCGGCTCGAAGCACATTTGCAAGTGAAAAAGCTAAAAACACCTCACGTTCGGACCACTTTTTGGAAGTTGAGATGTCGAAAAAGTGCACGCTGTTTTGGCGCGAAGCACATTTCGAAGTCAAAAGTGCAAAAAACTGACGGGTACGGAGCACTTTTGAAGGTTCAGATGTGCTTTCGTGTGGCAGGCGCAAGGGATTGTGCACCTTGTCAAAAGTGAGCAAAACGTGAGGGTTTTGCAGCATTTCCAAAAACGATGGCAGGCGTGGGACATTTAAAGAGGATCTTCAAAGATGCATTTCGCGTGGCAGGCGCAGTACAAAAGACATGTTCATCAGAGATGTTAGGAGGTCAGATGTAGTTTGCTAAGATGATTTTGCATGTCAGGTGCAGCACTTCGCATGACCTGGCATCAATTTTTCGTGGCAGGCGCAGTACTTTCGACAGGTCGAGTGGAAAAATCGCAA